TTTATAAAAAAATAATTGAATAAATCGAATTTATATCTCATTATATATATATATAGAAATCTTTTTATATTTTTACTTACAAACAACCATCAATCATAGGTTTGGTTTGTGGAATTAGTTTATACATCAATTCGTAGCAAGGAACACAAATACCTTTAAGAAAATTGACCTGAAAAAAAAAAAAATAATTATTATTATTATTCTCAATGTAACATTCATTTTTATATTTAAAATTTCATATAAATATTTAGAAATTCGTCAATAGAAGACAGAACAAAATCATCTTGAAGTGTGGAAGAGTCTTCAAATAAAGGTGTTTCTGTGTTGTGGGTAAAGGAAATTCTTGTTAAGAGTTAATTATTTTTCTAGTGTTTTCTTTTAGTGGATCTTTATAAATGAATTTCCTTCCTGTTTTTATTGTTTTTAATACGTAAAAACTTAATTGAAGTATGTAATAATAAGAAAAAAAAAGTCATTTAAAAAAAATCTTTCCATTAGACAAACACGAAAATTCTTTCTGCGATTAATTAAAAGAAACTTTCCTGCTGTAGATAAAGTATTTGGATATACCAAAATATGAGAGTTTCGTCGGTGAGTAAACGTTTCTTGAAAGCATTCCATTCGTTATTTCTAGCCAAAAAATATATTTATTTAAAAAAAAAAAATTCCTCTTACTACATTCTTCAATTTAGTTTTCTGTGTTGTTATCATATTGATTGTATAATATACCTTTTCCTTGTGTATTTTTATCCATTTCCTTAAATATTTCTTTAGATTAAAGACAATAATAAATAAATTAATTAATTAACTTTTAAGTTTCATAACTTACATTCATAGTGAATTACAGTAAATTGTCTATAGAAGAGTAATTAATATATAAAAAAAAATCTTTAAATTTAATATTAAATTCCAATTTGTGTGTTGTCATCCTAGTAAAAATTAATTTAAAGGATACTTTTAATATATTAAGTATACCAATATATATATTTTTTTATTGTTCTTCAATTAAATTTTTGTCTATTAACTAATTACGATGTGTCTAACGTAAAATAAAAGCTATTTTTTTTTAGCTAAAACAGTACGAAAAAGATACATATTCTTAATTTAAAAATTGTATTCCATATTGTACAGTCGTACAACAAGGAATTCATATAACACGGAATTATCTACAGTGTTATAGGGGGATCTACTTGTATTAGGAATAAACATGATATCTTAAAAAATTATCTTCTAGATTAAATTTAATTATAACTTTAATTTTAGATTTGTAGATAATTAATTATTCTATTTAAATTGAATACCGATATTTAAAGTTACAAATAAAAATAAATATCAGTAAATTTTTATAACCTGAGATGCGGCTTGTTCGTTCGGTTTGTTTCTATCCATCATAGGGATTGGTTGTCTTCCTTGAGCCTTTTCCGCATCTCCCTGTAAATTCGACAGTATAATTAATTACGAAAAATAGTAAAGCATAGAAAATACACGAGCTTAAACCAAGAGCGATAGTTAGAATCAACTTAGATGCAGAGCAGCAGCGAGCGTGAGCACACAGTTCGAACTTTAAAGCATCGTTCGAACTCTGAAACGTTTGAAGTACGGGCTACTGCTATATTTGCCTTTCTTTGTGATTAATTTCCTCATTAAAGCCTTAAAAAATAAGCTCAAAGACGCTGATTTCTTTCCTACAAGACATTATTTCTCACGGAAATCATCTAACATTTTAATATTTTGAGCAGCTGTAAAGAAAAATAAACGGGCGATTTTCCAAATAAATGAAACCAAGAAAAGTACAGTACAATGTATTTAAAATCGTGTCAGTGGCGTGTTATCCTATGAGTAAAAATTGCCTGGAGCCCCAACAATAGAGAGCCTCAAACCAATCTTTTATAAGAGAATATTTCGTAACGTCTTTCAGGCTACATTTTCTGTCATGAAACATTAAAATTTACCTGTTCGTAAAATTCTTCGAAGATTACATTAACAGTTTCCTTCTGTTGTTCCCACGGTTTAGTACTGGCACATAGGTCACAAGCCGTCATAGTCACAGCTTCTAGTAAAAGTCTGTTAAATATTTCAAGTATATAATTTCTTAATAAGTATATTTTTTAAAAAAAAATGTAGAAATAACTCGGTTTTATAAATCAATTATTATATAAAACACCAAAGATGATAGAACACGAATTCATAAAAAAACACAATAAATTTCGTTTTCGGCATTGGATTCTTTCGAAAATAAGCACTTTTCGGCATTCGAATATGGTGAAATTTTTAAACAGAATTATTTATTTTTGATAATTTTCTTTCTTTATTTTTTTTTTATTTTATTGAAGCAGATACANTTCATTTTTTTTTTCAAGTTATTTTGTTTAATATTCAACGTAAATTACGTCAATAAACGTTTTCTATCGTGTTTATCGATCGTATAATAAGATATTTAAAGAGAATACATACGTGTTTCTTAGATAAATTGGCATACATAAGAGATTTCGAGTAACGTAACCTGTCAGTTGATCAATTGATCTAAATAAAAGTAAGAAATTATTAAATAATGTTTATATTTTATAATAAATAATAATTATTAATATTACCGTTATTCTAAATAAAAATAAAAAGAATTTTATTAAAATTTTACCTATTAAATCGATGATCGTTGTACGCATCAGGTATGTTAAGAGACTGGCCAGTAAGAGCAACAAATCCAGCGATTCCACTTCCCAATGGAATTCTATTAACAATTAATTAAAATTAAAATTTAATTTTTAAAATTATGATTTAAACCGTATTATTATAGAGGAGTCCGTTAATTACGTATACAGCTTAAGGAGTAATGGGTTCGCGGAAAAGTACATCGTTGTACACGGAGGAATCGTCTACGTGGACTTTTCTAATGGCATTAATGGCATAAGAATTTGTTCTTATAAATCTACTTATTAATCGTGTAAACAAATCATAAGTTAGAAAATATTTGCAGGACTTTTTAAATTTATTCCTTCAATGTCAGGGGGGACCCGTGAACGTAATTAAAGGAGAAGTTTTCATCATACGCAACAGCGAGGAAGGAAATCAAACGTGGCTCAAAAGTTGTACACGTAGTTAATAGATGACCCCCTATCTCGTTAATGATAATTAATTATATTCAATGAGTCCTTTACAATTGTGTTCGGCATTCAGTAAAATTCTGACCAGAAAGATTCATGATAGTATTAGGGAAATTGAAGCTATTAAATTTTGGTGGTTGAAGGTAGAGGAGATGAAGAGATAAAGGGGGGATCGTGTGTCGAGTAAGGTCGGATTTAATGACGATTTTCCTCGTTATTAGCATTTACAATATTTTATAAAAACCCCTTAATATAAATTTACGATTTATCTGATTAAATTTATTTTAAATTCATACCTGTAATCGACGTTGTTCCAATCAAATTTATCTTCTTCAATCAGTGACTGAAGTTTTGTTTTATATTGAAAGAAGCGAGCTAAATCTGTAGCCAGAATACAATGTTTGATATTCCCTAAAAGCTGGAGTATAAATTATTATTTTAATTTAAAGTAAATGAGAAACGTTAATGACCTTAATGGGAAATTGTATCTGCTTGGCATTAAAATCTAAATAAAAATTAAAATTATCATCACGGTTATTTTTACTCAATAGATTTTAAATAGAAACACAATAAATATAATTATATATATATATATATATAAACATTAAATTTTATATTTTGTAACAGTAATTCAACTCACTTGTTTATATTCTTCTGATGTTAAATGTTTGAATATATTATGTCCATCTTGCTATTAAATTTAAACTTTATATGTATTGAAAATATATTAATGAGTTTCTTTATAAGAAAGTAAAAATCATATTAAAAATCAAGTTTATTTCTTTAATTAACAGATTATAGTTTATTATTTTAAAAAAATGAATTATTATTAAATCATTTTAATTATTTAAATTTTTATTTGAGTCTTTAACATAGAAAAATCTAAGAGAATTATTAAAAAAAAGAGGAAAAACCTGTAATATTGATATAGTTTGGTTAAAATGATGATGTTCTAATGTGGAAGTTGTATAAATTGCAGCTAAAGGTGATTCTGAATTAATAAGAAATTGGTTTGTTTTTCCTCTATGATCCAAATCATGACATAAACACGAAATGAAAAGAGCCAATTCCTAAATACAGTTAAAATATTTCATTATAAAACATTTAATATTAGTAAAAATAATTATAAATCTTAACAAATTTACTTCGAAAGGTCTAAAAACTCCACGTGCACTTTTTATAATAACGAAAGAAGAATTAGCCACACTGAAACCATGATTCCAATTGTGGTATGGGACTGTACGATAATTTTTTCTTACTGTCAACGTAAAACGTATCAAACAATCCAATTCGAATCTTTAATAAAAGTTAAATTAATCGAATTAAGTAAAAATTATATTAATTTGTATAGATAATAATAATAATATTAAGTTACTTCTGCAATCCAAAGAGATCGATAAACATTTGAGTTGTTGAAGTAACTTTCTCATTTCCATTTAGAGAATAACTTGAAAAATAAAAACTAATACAAAGATATATAAAATGATATAAATAAATAAATAAGTAAATAAATGTATAAAATTAATTACAGACTTCATTAATTCGTCACAAGATATAGGCGATGTTATATGTTTAAATCGTTCTACTTCTTCATCTGTACACGCGTTGTGGTATCTGAGAACTTCTATAGCTACTTTATATTTCTGTTCCGAACGGCGAATTTTATCGTATAGCTATAAAATATACAATAATTACTAATTGTAATTAGTATAAAATCAATTTAAGACGTTAAAAAATGTCCTACTTTCGCATGATGTAAAGCTAGACCACAATAAATTGAGAAGATTGAAAACGATTCTTCATCTTCTTCATTGAATAATCCTTCTTCTTTATTAACCATTTGAACCACTCCTATAACGCTGAAAAAAAAAGATTAAGAGAATTGATGTAATAATTTATTACTAAAAAATTTTAATTAATTAATTAAAAACAAAACTCTTTTGTATTTTTCTCAGTTGTGTCCAATAACGACTACTCTTCGATTTGGTCTAACTTAACAGGCCAGACAAATCAATTTTTAATCATTGGATATAGAGAAAAACAATCTACGAAGTTGTAGGCCGAGGTCAGTTATATATAAAATAACTCTAGTTTTTCGTAGATAAAAATCAATGGTTAATTTTATTAATACTACTTTTCATATTGGAAATAAAAATGTCCTAAAAAGTATCTAAGATTATTTACAATTATTTTAATTAAATTTGCATTTTTTCTAGAAGAATCGAGCCTATAACTTCTAATAAATAAATAAATATATATTTATTTATTTAAGTTTTAATTAGTAATTCATGACTTTTTATCAGATAGTCACGTAAAGGAAAAAGTATATAGGCCTATATTGATACAACAATTTCTATCTGCGATTATTTTTGGATATAACTCTTGATATTTCTATAAACTTATATAGACATAATGTTTTCTAATGTCATATAGTTTGTTACCAGATAATAGAATATTACTAAACGTAGAGAAATACAAAAAAATTCGGGAGATTTTTCTGTATGTATGGATGTTAGGGTGTGTGTGCGGGGAGGGGCACAGTTTCTTTCTCTCTGTTTGAAGCTTAATAACTCCTGTGCTTTTGATCGAAAATTTCTGAAATCTTGCAGGGAGGTTTGTTTATTAAGGAGATTGGTGTTATTAAATTTTAGTGGTTAAAGGTCGAGGGGATAGAGAGATAAAGGGATCGTGCGTATCTCCAGTAGGGTCGAACTTAATGACGATTTTATTCGTTATTATTCGTTCCATTTTATAATAAAAAAATATAGTAACAGTTAAAGAATATTTTGAGATTTGTTCTTTCATACAACAATAGTTTGAACAATTTCATTTGGAACATTTTATAATTAATTTGTAAAGAAGGTATGATGTCCAAGGTGGTTAAGGTATCAACTTACTGCTCTAGGATCCGGAATTGAATCTAGGAGAGTAACGTTAAGAATTTTTTAGGGGTAGTATTTACATTCCTAAAATTGCTAAGGCAACTAAGGATTTTTTTCATTAGTTCATTTTTTAAAACCATTCCTTCCACGGGTTACCTCGTCGACGGCCGTATTTAAAGTCATATTTACATAAATAAAAGAATTAAAATAATTTAAAATAAGTTATTTGCAAACTGTCTCTTACATATAATAAAATAATTTTTTCTTTTAAAATTAATTACTCACATTTTCATTTAATTTTTATTAATTAAACTTACTTTCGTTTTTTCTTTACCGACAAGTAAAGGCAACGAAACGACTAATTTTAAGCTGAAGTATTTAAAAATTGAGTAAAGTTTATGTGGAATTATTCGTATGCTCTGGTGCAACTTTAATCGAAAGAGTGAGTAGAGAAGTGTTTTGTTCTCACTCCTCTGTTCATTTTTTTTTTTCAAGTTATTTTGTTTAATATTCAACGTAAATTACGTCAATAAACGTTTTCTATCGTGTTTATCGATCGTATAATAAGATATTTAAAGAGAATACATACGTGTTTCTTAGATAAATTGGCATACATAAGAGATTTCGAGTAACGTAACCTGTCAGTTGATCAATTGATCTAAATAAAAGTAAGAAATTATTAAATAATGTTTATATTTTATAATAAATAATAATTATTAATATTACCGTTATTCTAAATAAAAATAAAAAGAATTTTATTAAAATTTTACCTATTAAATCGATGATCGTTGTACGCATCAGGTATGTTAAGAGACTGGCCAGTAAGAGCAACAAATCCAGCGATTCCACTTCCCAATGGAATTCTATTAACAATTAATTAAAATTAAAATTTAATTTTTAAAATTATGATTTAAACCGTATTATTATAGAGGAGTCCGTTAATTACGTATACAGCTTAAGGAGTAATGGGTTCGCGGAAAAGTACATCGTTGTACACGGAGGAATCGTCTACGTGGACTTTTCTAATGGCATTAATGGCGTAAGAATTTGTTCTTATAAATCTACTTATTAATCATGTAAACAAATCATAAGTTAGAAAATATTTGCAGGACTTTTTAAATTTATTCCTTCAATGTCAGGGGGGACCCGTGAACGTAATTAAAGGAGAAGTTTTCATCATACGCAACAGCGAGGAAGGAAATCAAAAGTGGCTCTAAAGTTGTACACGTAGTTAATAGATGACCCCCTATCTCGTTAATGATAATTAATTATATTCAATGAGTCCTTTACAATTGTGTTCGGCATTCAGTAAAATTCTGACCAGAAAGATTCATGATAATTTAAATTGTTTATTCTGCAGATAAACGTTTTATCAATTTAAAAATATTATACACCTCTACGATTATAAATCCTCAGGTTATTTTTAAAATATTATAAGAAAATGAATTATTAATATCAATTTCTATAACTCAATCAACCTGCCATGAAAAAAAAATTCTAATTAAAGTATCAAAATAGATTCATTCCGATTATATGGAAATGCTAAGAAATATTTTAGACACGTAAAGGAAACCCGTAACCATTCTGTTAGTGATGCATGGACCCACGACCAACTACCAGTGTTTTAGGTCGTGGTCACATCTTGCGATTTCAGCTGCAACCGTTCCCGATAACTAGTAAACACCCTTCAAAAACTTGTGCCACTACCATTGGTGCCCGCAGACTATTATAAAGGTGATTTACAAGCTATAAAAAAAAAGGGCATCGTACATTATGCAAGGGGCTTCATACTCTATGATTCAACGTCAGATTAGCTCTCCCACAAAATGGCTATTTGCACGCAGATCTAACTTGGCTTCGAAAACAAGGAATGGGTTTTTGGTCAAAATACGATTGTTGTATGGATCAATGGACAAATATCGTTCATTATTTTCTTTTATATTTGCAAAATAAGCTAGAAATAAGTCAGGAAGTTTTTTTGGGCCCTCTTGGTGGGGATTAGGAAAGGGCAACCGAGACGAAAAGGGGACGGCACGTGCCACAAGTGTCCCAATGTACGGGCGCCCCTGCCCATTACAATCTCAACTAGAAATAAAAAGTTTGCTCTACTCGTGCCGGTTGCAAATGCGAATCCAATCAGCAAACGCCTTTGTGCCACGTCATACGATGGTGACTTTGAAAATAGTTACTGTCATGGCGGAAAGTGAGAATGCCGGTACGGCTTTAGAATCGAGATTGATCGAGCTGATTCAGACTCACGAATGCCCGTGGAATTTTAATTATTCGTTTTATCGAAAAAGATAAAAGAGCACAGTCATGGCGTGAGATAAGCGAAAGTTTCGGCATTGATTGTAAGTACCATTTTTAGATTTCTGGATATAAAATGTTGATTGTTTTTAGTTTAGTAACGACAATATTATTTTAAATATAGCTAAAGAATCAAGTAAAAAGTATCATCATTTACGAACAACATTCCTTCGCATTAAAAAAAAAAGTAGTAGAAGATAGAAGGCAAAGTGGAAAAGAAGTGAATGTTAGAGGACGTTTCTAAATTCCACGGTGTGAGCAACAATGTTGGGAGAAATGAACAAAATAATGATATTTGTTATATTTTATTTTTAATTACTGCATTATAAAATGGCAAAAATCTTAATTTTAAGAGTAAGGATGGGTTTATAAAAACATTATAAACGCCAATAACGTATAAAATCGTCATTAATCGTTATCGTCTTACTCGAGATATAACACACGACCTCCTTTATTTCCCCACCCCACGACCTTTAATCACCAAAATTAAATAGCATCAATCCCCCAATACACAAAACTCCCTGCAAAGTTTCAGAAATTTTCGACAAAAAGCACAGGAATTATTAAGTAGAGTATTAAAAAAGGTAAACAAAATCTTGCCTACATACACACACACACACACACATTCATATACTGTATACAACGGGAAAAAACCCGAATTTTTCGCATTTCTCGACATTTCAAGGTCCCCCGAGTCCAAAAATATAAAAATCTTGGGTGGGAGGGGGGTCATTTTTTGACCGATTGCCGTACTTTTCCTCTGTTATATATAACAGAGTTTGGAAAGTAAAAAAACGACTTACATCAAGTATGGAAGAAGAAAGAAAGGCAGAAAGACATCAGTTTTGATGTCCCTCTGAACACTAGCAAATTAAGAATCTTTCGGAGGAATAGTAGAAACAGATTTGGCTTAACAAAGGGCATGCACAATATTTCTGTAATCTATAGTAGCTGCCATCTTGAAGTTTACATTTTTTTTCCGATAGTCACCAGACTACAACGACTCTAAGGACTGTTGGAAATCGATGAAGCTACAGGGCTCGACGATAACGTGACTTTATGCACGTCCTGTTAAACGTTTCGTTGCAATCTGTGCGATACCGTAGAGTTTAGAAACTACCTCTTAGTTTACTTTAAGGTCACGTGTTTCCGAGTTGCAACGTCAACAAACAATGTGACTACGACAAGACGGTGCAGCTCGTGCTCGTAGCAGTTGTCCACTCGGCTACTAGTGAGCTTTTTAAGAAACTGGACGGCCGGATGTCCAAGACGGTATTGTCACGTTATCTGTGGACAAAAAAGGCAATTGCCTGACCCTAGAGCCTGCGCCAATAGGACCCCAAACCAATCTTTTACAAGAAAATATTTCTCTTCGAAAAATATCGGAAGTCAATATTGTACATGGGAATTCTGTAATTCAAATTCGCCTGGGCCTCCATGAAACTATAACACGCCACTGCAAGGCGATTAAGATGTCGGTATGAGTAAGTAAAAAAAGCCTACTTTGCGTATCCAAGGATAAAAGGCAAAATTTTAAAAAAATGCATAAATTTTTCCTACATAAAAGCATAAAAGTATTGTGAGATTAAATGATTGATGTAGATCTTAGCAATATACAACTATATCAATCCTTTAATAGAATCTTCGTTTTCTCAAGAACGAATGCTCCTACAGAGAATCCGCTCCTGTTTGTATGAAATCAATATGAAAAATTATAAAAATTTTTCATAATTTTTCATATTCTTAATTCTTTTTAGTCTTTTATACATTTCATGAAAGATATAAAAAAAACAAAATACCTTATTTCGTTTGCTGATTCGGATTTATTTTCTTCGCAATTAACATCAAATATTCTTGCATATAATTCTTTAGTTTGATGATCGACAAGAAATAAAGAAGCTCTGTCTGCTTTTACTAATTTCTGAGCAAACATCTAAAAGGAGAATAATAAAAATTACTCATTTAAAAAAATTTTTATTTTTAACATTTAGAAATATAAATAATTGTATTTACAAAACTAACCATGATTTTAATTATTACGGTATCCATAGTTTGCATGTCTTTAAATATTGATCTACAAGAACAATATAGAATCACATTAAACTACTGAAGATTAAGAAATAATTTTTTAAACGAAACAACATTAATTAATTATAGTATCTATTTCATATATTATTGATTAATTATTTAATGCAAGACAACCTCCTGCTGGCATTAAGAGTCATTTTACGCGCCCATTATACATTTCGCTAGGCCCACAAAGGATACAAATCAATTGTGGGCCTAGTCGAATTTACAATAGGTATCGAGTAGTGAAACGGAATCCAACATATCCAGTTTAAGTCATTCATGAAAATTTATAAGCTGATCTGGAATCTGGTTCCTAATATTCCAGAGCTACAACTTTACAGCCTCTGCTATCGAGCTCTTAGCATTTTACAGCTATAAGTCCGTCCATTAATTATGCTTATAATTTTTAGTTATTTTTGACCATCTCCCTCTGTGTTGTGTACCATAATATGCTGTACTTTTGGCAAACACCCTCCTCTTTAATTATGTGTACAATAGTTTATGGGCCGGCTTCCTCTGACATTGAAGAAATCACTTAAACATGTTTTGTAAATATTTTTTAGTAAATAGCTTATAAGAATAAATTTATATCATTAATATCACTGGCTTGACCAGTGGCCGAGTAGATAAAAAAGCCACTAAACACTGGTAGTTGGTCGTGGGGCTGGCCACGTGAAGTTTTCTGAATTTTCTTTACGTTTGTAACACCTAAATAAGGGCCAGTTTCCCATAAAAGGTTGCCCGGGAAGCATTTCCCCTCTATTCAGATCGATCATGACGTAAACGAATAAAACCAAAACAAAACCTTGACCATCTTCTCTTCCCTCGTGATAATCCCTGCTCACAAGGGGTACGCTGGCAATGAACTCGCAGATAAGTTAGCGAGGAAGGCGTGCCTCCTGGACAGGGAATCCCCCTTTAAGAAACTGCCTCACTCTTGGTTAAGGAATCAGCTCGCCTTTCTGGCGATCAACGATTGGCAATGTGAATGGGATGAGGCGGACACGGGGAGGAAAACATATACTTTTGTTCCATCTATCACCCTCCGTTTCAAGACCAGACATTGCACTCCTGATGCCGAGACCACCCAGTTCTTGACCGGACATGGCAACTTTGTTGCTTATCTTCACCGCTTCGGCAAAAGAGACAATAACATCTGCGACTGCGACGAGACCAGCGAGGCCACCGTGGACCACCTTCTCTATGCATGCCGAAAGTACGACGACGACAGGCTTCAATTCATCGGGGAATGCCTAGTTGAAGGACAGAACTGACCGCCAAACCCAGCAGATGTATTCATGAACCGGAAATTGTGGAAAGGACTATCACAATTCGTACACACAACAAAGACCTTAGGCACCAGAGGTTACGGCGGAGGGGTCACTATACTACCAACTCCGCATGCTGCCTACCGAGGCACCTCATCGGACCCTCATAGTGTAACAACTAACCCTTAAGGGCAATGCATAAAACCCTATCTGCGATTGATTATCGATAATTGACTTGTGTCCACATCTACAACTATATGGTACTATTGTGATCATATTCTGTTATCCTGTCATAATCGCTCATCATTCATATTGTAATCACCTTTTATACTCCTCATAAGTTTATTACATGTATAATTGGAATGTAAGCACTTGGTATGCAGTGCAACAGTCAATTACTGTATAATTATGTAAGTAACTTGGATCAACTGGTAGCTAAATTGGTGTACAGCCGTTGACTATAATCTTGTAGTCTATTATAGCATATGTATCAATGTAACCAGTATCTGTAACTATGGTCACCGCTGATCCTTTACTTACACGGGATCCATTTTTGTATCCTCATCAAAATTACTCCTTTACTAATATGGAATGTACCCATTAACACGTAGCCAATTGTCATCTACTGCATTAATTTATTTACCACCACGACCAGATGTACACTTTAATTACTGTTCTATGTAAATATTTTGTTATCAGTTCAATAAAAGCGATGCAGGCGCTCATGGCGTCTCCCATGCCTTATTTTCACACTTTTTTCCTTTCTATTCACACTTTCCTATCTCCCTTTTCACACTCCCCTCACATGCTTTCCTCTTCTTTCAACTTCCTAATAGGACTAGGTCTGTTGCAAAAATGGAAGCTCTTCTACTTCCTGTAATGTAATGTATAATGATAATATAAATCTAGGAAACCTTTCCTCCCTTAAAATATCTCAAGGCTACGTAATTAATAGACGGCCCCTGTGGGGGGTCATGATTAGAACAGAGGATCAGGTCAAACCGTAATGAGTCTTCATTATGGTTGAACCTTATATCATCAATAGGATTGGGCAGCATGTATTAGGACAACGGTTCCCAACCTTTTTCGGGTGGCGACCCCTTTTTATAAAAGTCAAGTGACCCGCGACCCCGATACAATTGAAAAAGGCATTTTTAATAAGGTAATTAAAAAACAACGAAATTAGTTTTTTTAATATAATTTTATTTTAAATTATGTTTAATAATTTAATGCGATGGTTGAAATTGTATGTTATTAACCAGCTACAAAATTCGCGGGTGAGTTTTTGTTAACGCCAACCTCATGTCATTCTCAACATTTAATTTATTCCGCTCAAACTCTCAACACGTTTCAACCAACTGTGACAGAATAGCCTATTTAGATTACATTTATTTTAATTTTTTAAAAATACAGTCGACCCCCCCCTATAACACGGTAGATACGTTTCTGTTTTTATGAATCCATTTCTTACGAGTCTAGCCAATCATAGCCCGGCACGTATGCAGTTTTCGGACTACGGCTGTTTGAAAGGTTT